GGGGGGGGGGGGGGGGTGAAGCAAAGCCTACCATTACCAAAATTAGACATAGGTCATAAGAGCTGTTCACCAAGTATACTTCCAGAAGTAACTTCAGTAGGCAGACATGTCCACTTCTAAGCAGAAAGATTTGCCAGGATCTACTGACACGATAATTCTCATTCCTTCCTTGCTCCCCACCGAGCAGCCTTTTATTTCCATGAATTAGTCATTTAAAAGACCCCGGCTCAAAATGCAGAACCAAGAAATGCGTAACTTTACAGGTAATAAGCTCATACCTTATCTGACGGAAATTGCTTCTGATTTCATGAATTAGTCAAATTTTACAGAGTATATACTAAATGCCCATCCCCTCTCATACAAGGTTCTGCTGTCTATGCAGGCTGCCAAGTGTTAGGTCCCCCTCTCAGGCTGCCTACCGAGACTGGGAAGACAAAACTAGACTGTCCGCACAACCAAAACCAACTCTGGATTTTTAAAATCAGCCATAGCTTTTGAACCATGGTCATGTTTAAACTACACAGTATACAAAACAATCCCCTGCAGATGTATCAGCTCGAATCCCAAAGCAACGTGGCCCTGCATGGCCCTGCAGCATCCCCTTCCTTTGGCAGGTCTGCCGAGGCGGGCAGGGCACCCCACGGATAGGGCTTGAGCTGCAGAGGCAAGAGCTGCGTTCCCTTCCTGGGACCTTCCCAGACTGAAGGTCACTGCAGAGACAGGGTACACGCCGTCCAGCACACACACTGTCATCCACAGCCCTGCTTAACACCACTGACAGCCTGTCATCACCTCACCGACACCCGCTCTGCCTAGGATGTTAAGATACAAATGAGAAATTACAAAAGCTGTTTAAAAAAGAAAAATAAAATACACACCCCAACAACTTAAGGTATTCTAGCAGGTGGGAAAAGAAAGTGATCCAAATGAGCTGCAAACAAGGTACTTCTAGGACACTGGGGTTTGTGAACATTAAGCAGAACCGGGGATAATTAAATACTTACCTGAAATAAATGGGTATCAAGGATAAAGAACTGCAAAGATATTCTAGATCTCACAAAATGTTGTTTTTTACCAACAGCTTCAGAATCACAAACATAGCCTCCTTCAAATACATAAATATGATTTACTTGCTTTGGCAGAAACACAAGTCTATAGGAATACTTTTCCAAAGTTAACCATTCTTACTATGCAAGCTTAATAGCTTTTTCAAGCACTTTCCAAAAGATCTCCACCAACTGCTATTTTAACTAGTAATATTTCCTATTTTATAGTAACCTCAAGATAATTTGAGAAAGAAAGAAATATATTTAAAACTTCAGTACCAAGTCAGCCAACGCAATCTGATGAAATACACAATTCTGGTTACTCAATAAAATGGTATTAAATGGCCAAAGAAAAAGAAAATAGTTACTTTATTAGCCATTTCCCCACTTGTAAGAATTCAATAAATAACGTCAAATGGTGTGTGTGATCGGTAAGTACACTGCTCAACTCTCTAAAGACCTATGCTCTTACAAAACACTTCAGGCAGGGGGAAGTATTTCTACTTTGTGTTGAATATACAGAAAAACTCTACTGAACTTTGAACACATTTCAAGAACTTGTACAGAATTACACAGCAGGAAAGTTTTCATAAATCCTTTTCTGACATCCTATACCAGTACATTTCTCACTAAAGAGGGGAGCAAGCATCATGGAGCTTAAAAACCAAACTCGAATAACAAGAACCTACACAGCTCTGGTACAAGGCAAAAGGCACCCATGCTAGGGATTACAAAGACCTTGCTTCTGCTTGGCTATCATTTTCATCTGGTCCACAGAAGTACCTGCCTGGGAGCAGACCAACTAATCTGATGGTCCTGCCGTGTGGGGATTTCTCCAAGGGCAGGAAGCAAGTGGCAAAGACCAAGGTTCAATCAAACAGGTTCCATTAAACAGCCACCCCAGGCTAACAGTGGCAACGTGCTTGCTAAATCTGAGCACAAAACATAGCAAAAAAGGAATAGAGTTCACTTTCAGTTCTTAAAAGGCTGCAACTTAATTTTGCTAAAGCTTTTCAAAATCAATGCAAAAGAGTTTGCCTGATAAAACCAGCACCATGTCCCACCACCACCAGGCTTCAAGTTCCCTTATCCAAAACTGGGGGTAAAGATTAAAATCAACATTGTTTCTAGTTCCAGAAGCATAATGATTTGTGCTATTTTAAGAGAGACTAACTTTTTACAAAAATGAAACTACTGATATGAGGTAACCCCATCCTGAAAACTTCCTGACTCTGAATCTCAGATTGCCATAGACAGCATCCAAATGCAAGGGTCCTCATGCCTACCAACAATAACCGAGTACATCTCTCTCACAAAAATCCGTACCAGTGTAAGGCTGCAACTTGGTCTTTGCAATTAAGCTTTCTTCCTCTCACCAGTAAATATCCCATCCTGCAATCCTTAAGGTTAACATATTGATTTGTACAGTGCATAGGAAAATTCTGTCCTCTTGCCTTCAAAAAAATTTATTCAGCTGGCGTATGTCTCATTGCAGTATTCAATGCAGAAAACAAAAATACAATTACTACTTCATCTGGGTAACACTTTCAGTTTCATTTTTCTAAATGCTTTGAAAAGAACAAAAAGGACCAAATTCACTGTAGAAGGGTGCAGTTCAGAAGACTCAGAATAATTGAAACATTTCAAATGAGTTAAACTGTTTTAACTGTAGCAATTGTACTTCAGAGAGCTCCCTTCAGATGAGAAACTACTTTACAAATAAGCCAATGGAAAACTAGAAACAACTTGCCCAAGATCATAAGAAAAAATAGAAGGATTTGAAAATAGTGCCCCATTATTCAAATTTTAAAACTTGTAATGATGGTCCCTCTTGAATTCACAGATAACTTAACATACATCCCAGTTCCAGAATTAATTATCCACATCAAGAAACTGGCTTGAAAGACTGCAGTCACACCGAAGCTTCTAACATGCCTATCGCATCAGTTATGAAGTTATTAACATTACAGCATATACTAATAATAACTTCTTTAAGTGCACAGTATCATAAGTATAAATAAATAAACAATAATTAAAGTGCACACTTTCCTAAACAAATGAAGTGTGCCATAAAAACATTCCAAGATTAGCTAGAAAAACCTAATAGAAAACAACAATTCACCCTTGTAAGCAACACTAATGGAATTTAAACATTTGTGACTTTGTAGGACAAAGCCTGGGAACACTACGGAGCTCAGTGTCCTTCAAACACACTACTGCCTGGAACACAACATTCATACAGATATCCCATTACGCCCTAATCATTCTGTTTAATTGCTGCCATACAGCACAAAGTTAATCACTCAGCAGATCACCAACAAGAGTTACAAACATTTTTTCCCCCCTAAGATAAGGCAAAATCATGACACTGAAGTGCATGTAGAAGTCGACAGAAAAACCATCCGTGGCACCTGGAACGTGGCAGCAAAGCCACTGGTTACCTTATGCAAGCTGTTCCCAGATTTAACTCTATACATAGCACATGGTCATAGCACCAATAAAAGGGTCTATGATTGACTGGAAAAAGGGACCTATTCCTTCCCCAAAAGTTATGAGTTCTGATGCTTTAGTGTTTTTTTATGTATATAGAAATTGCCACTAACCCAAAAGAATTAGAAGATCAAAAAAATCCGTACATGGTGTCACTAGGGTACATGTTATTCAACAGACCAGGAAAGTAATTTTCTTTTATCATTACCCTCAAACCTTATCAAGCCTTATCCAGTCAGCAGCTCAGCCAGCTCCTTTTCATCCATGCAGCAACCAGCCACAAATGACAGAAGCTGAGAATCTACAGGTAGATCTTAATTTATTCCTAAAGAACAGTATACATGCTAAATTTCAATGCATATATATTAGTTCATTTTGAGAGGTAAGTAAGAAACTCAAAATGTGAAACAGTAAGGACAGTAAGCAGACATTTAAAAGAAATCTATGACCACATC